GGAACTAAGGATTTATCTTAACCCAGAGCTTGCTTGGTTGATTAGTTTGGCAGTTTCTTTTTGTGGGAATAATAATAAGGATCTCATTTCTACCGTCAGTATTTTACAATTGAAAACTCATTGTCATTGTGCTTAATACGACCATGCATAAGGCATCAAAATATAGAAATCTAAACAGCTTCTAGGTCTTGATCAGGATCATAATTGTATTGGCTTTTTAGGCTAATTTTTAAAACTTTAATGCTACTAGGCTGAAGGTGCTTATGGAATTCATTTGGAAGCTATTTTTACATTAATTCTTTGGAAATTCTGATTTTCGTTTGTTTGTTTCACAGAGAGTTTTAATAGGATGGCAAGGTCTTTCTTTTCATCAATACGTTTTTTTAAAATTAAATTTATTAAACTTGTTTGCCACCCATCTTGCCACAAGGCGACATTATTTATGCCACATTTGTTGAGTTCATCCAGATGTTAAGTCTTTCTCATTTACTTCTTTTATATTCAAGGATTTGCTTCCTGACCTATAATTGGGTGGCATTTCTCATTTCTTTGAGTTAAAAAAAATCTTGCTATCTCCAGCCTTTTCATAGGATTAACCAATATTTTAATTACATAAGCATCATACTCAGAGTAAAGTCATAATATTCCAAGGTATAAAAATATTCAGTCCTTTTCATGCATGTTCTGGTAACTTTATTTAAACAGTGGTATAATGCAATAAAACATGCTATTGCTTACTACTAACATTACTTCTCTTATAACCCTCTAGTTGCTATGAGATGTCCAAATGGCTGAAACTTAAGAGCAATCAATATGAGACTTCAACTGTAAAATTAATTCATTTGCAGAACTTCAAGTGTCCACTATTCCTTTAAGCCAATAATCATTGCCTCAAAAAACCACAACATGCAGAAATCTGTTTTTTAATTGTTTGTCAAACTGCCAGGATATGATTGAGCTGATTGACTTACTTCTAAGGAGATAAGGTAGAGATTCATTTGATTTAAACTCAGGTCCTCTTGATTATATATACATATCCATATTGTTTTCTTGGTAACAATGAAAGTGGCTTGTTGCAGCCTTCTTCTGAAATATTTCTTTAATTCCAATGTTACTGTCACATTCTGAGATTTCTCAGTGGCCTCTCTTCCAAGTATTAAGCAAGTCGGACCCTGCTTAGCTTTTTAATTTAATTTAATATCAATAATTGTGACTGCTGCAACCTGAACTGGCCATTTCTAAAAAGACACTTATTTTATTCTCAATTCAGGTACTGTGGAGAAGTCAAATGGAAGGGCTGCCATCTCTGACTCCTTAATCATTCCTCTCTCCCTTGGATCATTGTTTCATCAAAATTTCACAAGCTCTATCAGAATCAGTTAGACACTCTAATTAAAGTCACCACAGTAGGCGCAGTAAAGGTGAACCTTTACTATTGAAAGCTTCACATGGGATTGATAAATTACAGAGCAAAAAAGAGGAAAATATAGATCCTCTATCCAGATTAAAATATTAGCATTACATTGAAGCCTCTAAGCAAATATCCTGCATTTTTTGGTTTGCCCTTGTCTTTTGCTTTCATCTGTGGGCAGAGCTCAATGTCCATGCTTTCTCCCATGCTTCTTCTGCACTTCCTTTTCTCCTTGATTTTGCTGAATGCATTTCTTAGAAAATTTAGAAATGTATAATATTCTCTTCCCTTTCCTAGCAATACTTACAGTGTTTTACCAGTTTTACTTCACCACTTTCTGTTCATTGGTTTTATTTTGCATATGAAGATACAGGGTCCAAAGCCACGCAGGTTCCCAAGTAAGCTATTCTGAGATGTAGAAAGTTGCTATGCCTTATTTATTATTCCTGCTATATAATCACTTTTATACATAAGGCTTTCATGACACTCATCCTCTTCAATTCTTTATATATCTGATTCTTGTTTTGGGGGAAAGGGTGAATGTGGTAGATAGGCATTTATCGTAGGAATTAGCCTTCTGGCCTATTTTTGCAGTGTATTAGAGAAAGTTCCCATCGTCTGAAACCAGCTAATCAAGTGTTTGGTCTTAATACATGCAAACATTTATCAATGTTTAAGGTGATTCAAGTTGCATTAAAAACTACAACTAAGAATTTTATGGTCGTTGTAAGCTGCCCAAGGTTGCTTAAGATCGGCAGCCATATAAATCTTTTCAATAAATAAATATATTCCATTTCCACTGTGGATTCTCCATGTTCTCCTAAATAAATTCCTAGTCTCCTAAGAGTCTAGTTTTGAACACTGGGAAGACAAATTTATGACCCCAGTTATTCAGCAGATTAAAAACCTGGTGTTATTTCAGATTTATGAAGATGTTGCTTATAGAAGTAGGTTATGGATGGATGGTTACAATAAAATTAATCCCTCTTTTTAAATTTATTGTGTAAACAAAAACATATGGAGTATACCAAAAATAATTATATCTGTTTCATTCAGTGTTCAAATCAATAGCCATTTTCTTTAAGATACTGTCTTACTTGTTCGATGCATGGCATTTGAAATTTTTTAAGTTCAGTGACATTTTTTTCTGATATTCAGAAATTCTAATGTGATGGTTTCCTATAGACTGTCTATTGGTCTATGGGGTCTGACTTTTGGTATACCCCGTATACAGTGTTGTTATATCCTTTTGTTGTGTTGCTTTCTTTTTTTGTAGTTGTGTTACTCTTTTTTCACCTTGTTCTGTTTTATTAACTAAAGGAAAATATGCTGGCTTATGAAATGCATCTAGGAACATATCCACTAATATCCTGTAAAATAGCAAAATTACTATATGCCTATTTGACATATACTCAAAATATATCTTAATGTCGTTGCCTTTGGTCTCTTATTTATTTCAGTAGCTGTTTGACTTCTTCAGTAAAAATGTACTGTTGAACTTCAGTATTGTGAAATAGCCACCTAAATCTGAAAAGGGCAAGTAACCCAGATAGAATATGCAGTTAGCTCCACAGAAAAAGAGAAATCTGTTAACATCTTACTGGATTGTCTCCATTGTGTCATTTTCTGCTGCTTTGTTATGAACTAGATTATTATTTATTTACTTACCTACCTACTTACTATATTTCACAGATGAGATAATGACATGATTTTTAACTTATTCCTGCTGTAAACCAGCACGAAACCATGCACATGCATCTGTTAAAACACATCTCCAAAAAAAAATAAAGCCTCAAGAGACATAGTCATTTGGATAAGTATTCAAAAAAAATGTCAAACAATAAATTTTCCTGATTTCTTTTGAGTTACTTTTATAATAACAAATTAATATAGATGTTTCTTTGGTTGAATTAATTTTCATGAAATACTATACCTTGCAATGAGAATCTTCTTGTATTTGCTTTACACTAGTATAATATTGCTTTACACTAGTATAATATTGTCCGATCTTTATTTAAATGTTGCATTTTTTCTAAAAATCAATGATTCCAAAGAAATCTCAGTGAGAAATTTCATTCAATGCCCTGTTGCTACATCACCTCCAAGTTGCAGGGGTGGTCGGATATGTATTTTTCACTTTCTTGCCTCAGCAAAGACAAGGCAAGTGGCTGGGCACCATAGCAGCTGCTACCTCCTTTAAGTGCAGATTTTTGAGATAGCATGGATCCAAAACTTTACTAACTACATTAAATATATATACTTATACTTGATTGCTGTCCCAAAGGATGGAATTGCCCTAAAAGCTTACAAACAAAACCCAACTTTTCCTAACTGTGTTTTGCTCAAATTTCAACCATTCGGGGGAATCACCTTTGAGGTCAAACAAGCAACTCCTCTTCAAGTCAAGCTTAGCTATTAGTGATTTCATGCCTGTTTTTTTTTCTTGACAACCATAGACAAATATTATCACTGCCCCACTTCTGGGATGTTTTTTTAACCCTTCCCAGCCTAGCCGGCAGCCTGGGTAATTCCAGATTATGTCCTGTGCTGATATCAACCAGTTTGTCTTAGCTTTTTCATATCAGTTTTCAAGGTAGGGTTGCTAGCGAATACAGCTTCATATGTGGGGGACAGATACCTTGTACCACCACAATGGCATGTCTGGGTTGCTCAAGTCAACCTACCATGCCATTAAGATTTGGGGCCTTAGTCATGAATGAAGAGGCGGAGAGCATCTCTGTAGTTTGAGAATGCATTGTGTCTGTAGGTGTGTGTTTTGTTTTCTTCATTCCTGTGCATTTTGCCAGGTGCATATGGATTCTATGAAATCTAAAGAACGAATCTGGTTTGCAGCAGGTGACAGAGACTGGCAAATCAGGTTCAGCAGCATTATTAAAGTACGAAATAAAGCACTCATACAGAAAATGGATAGGAATGCATTTTTTGTTTTTACAAGTGGTGCAAAATTCATTTCAAAGGAGAACCAGATTTGTGTGTTCCTCCTTTGTGCACACGGATCTCCACGCCTTGAAATTAATGATTAAATTAACATAGAGAATTAAGTTATTTTGAGCACACTTGCCTGCATGTAAGGTTCCTTGAATTCAGTGGAATAGAATTCCTTGTCAGCATGCGTAGGATCCACAGCTAAGTATTATTCATGACTCCCTTCAGCTAAGGTTGATTTCAGGGAGAATTGCATACAAGCCCATCGTGATATATTGTGATATTCTGCTGCATAATGGCTTGCAATAGATTTGCTGGATAAATATTCTGTACTTGCTGAACAGGGCAGGATTCCAGCTAGCCAACGGGGCCTTTCTTGCTCCAGGGTTTCCATACGCTTAGTTGGTCCTCCCTTCCTGATGCTCTTCCTTTTTTACTCATTGTCTTCATTCTCCACATACACCCATGCACGTGGCTCTGGACCGCTCATCATGTTCTTCTTGTTTAAAACCCCATTGTTCATTTGTTTGTTTGTTCTCTTCCTCTTCCCTTTATCTCTCTCTCTCTCTCATTCTCTCTCTCTCTCTCTCTTGCTTTCTTTTGTTTTCTTTTTGTTTTTGTCTCCTCTGTTTTGTATACCCAGGCAGCCCATTGAGTAACTTCTTTGACGTAATTAAACAACTTTTTTCAGACGAGAAGAACGGGCAGGTGAGCCATCCCCCCGGCACGCCAACCAAGCATAGCACAAACAGCAAGCGGAGCGATTCCGATAAAAATGACTATGGGTCTAGAGGAGACACTAAGTTCCCCGCTGGCAAAGAGAAGGCAAAGATGGCCTCATCACTCGGCTTACAAGACCAACCTTAAATAAATACACTGGGGGTGGGGGGATTAAGTCAATCCAATAAAATCACCTAGAAAAGTGAAGAAAAGCTCCTCAAATGAATGAATATTCTTTAGCCTCTAAACTAGATGGGTGTATATAATAGTGCTACCATAGGACAAAACTGTCTATAGTAAAATTTTGTATGGAAAAACAATGTGTGTATATATATATACATACATATATATATATTTAAAAATTATATATATATATACATGCACATGTAAATATATATAATCCACACATATACATATATAGATTTATATGATACCTATACAAATAATGCACACACACACACACATGCACATAGACACTCACACAGACATATAAAAGGGGAAAAAAAGTAACAATTGACAAACCCATTTTGGCAAATCCTGTTTGTTTGGGTTTTGTTTCCTCCTCCCAGTACTTTCCTTGCAATAACTCCTTCCTCTCACCGTAACACATCCCCGCTTCTGATTCAACCATCCCCATTATATTCCTGTGTTCTCTCTTGTGTTTCTGATACCACCGCTTGTTTCCAATCTACTACCAGGAATTATCCCGAAAAGTTAACATGTCAGCCAACATCTTCACCTTCTGTGCTCCGCGAATGCTTGTTCACGGAAGGCCAATGATGTAAGACTGTCCACGGACTGGTTTGGGGGGTGGGGAAGGGGAACTTCCAGCCTCCTGTCTCCCACTGCAGGAAATGGGTCTCCTCCATTCCATTTGCCCTCAACACACAATTTTCTTTTGGTGCTCTGTGTGGAGAACGGCTGAGACATTGCAACCTGTCACAGTTGGAATTCCTGGAAACCATCGTTGGCTGTGACCGCATCCTTTCCTTCTGGTGAAGCTAGACTTGGGGGAGGGGGGGGAGGAGGATAGGGAATAGGGTGGCATATTGTTCTCATTCCATACTATGATTTTTATAAGAACTACCCCTCCTCTCTCTCTTTCTTTCGATCCGAATTGTTTTTCAAATTGTGTTTTTGTAATCTCAAATCGGTTTTGTTTTTGTTTTTTCAAATGGCTGGAGAGGCAGCCATAAACTTGAGGGAAACAAAAATATAAGGAAACAGACAAGCAAACATGGACACTGAAGCTTAGGGAAAGGCTGCTATCAGCAGCAAGGACAAAGGACAAGGATCCAATTTTGGGGCACAGCCTCACCTGCTGCCAAGCTCTGCTCTGGCTACCACCTTCACCGTCATCGCCACCACTGTTAGGACTTCTTCTCTTCTCAACCTGCTCTCTCAGACCTTTCCTTCCACATTGGAATTTCCCTTCGGCCGGCTGAATTATCTGCTACATCACACATCTGGATGCAATTATGGTGTCATTAGTGCTGCATTGATATATCAGTATTATTATTTATTTGCTGGTTTTGTTTATTTATTTGGGTTGTGTATGTACGTTTGGGTTTGTTTCTTTTAATGCAAAAGAAGACTATGAGATGAGAAATGGATTTTCCCCTTTTTCCTTTGTGCGTGCCTGTGTCTATAACCACTGGTACATAGTTCATTTGAACAAAATATGGAGGAGATAGCACTATGGATGAGTTCAACACAAAGCTACTGTAAACTTTTAAAAGTATTGCAAGATATTTTTATATTTGTTTTGGGGTTGTTTTTTTCTTTGTTTTTGAAGAAGGATGAGTGGGCTGGATTTTCTGTGTAGTTAAGTTATTATTAGGTCTTGGTTATTATTTACAATGCATATATATAAATATAAATATATATATATATTTAAAATTTTAAGATGTTAGATATATCTTCTGCTTTCATTACTGAATAGAGGTGACATTGATTTGTATTTATTTGGGGGGGGTTGGAATTTCAACAAAAACACAACTTGTTCCTCTCACCAATGCTCCTTTTCTTCTTTTTCATTTGATGTCTCTCTCTCTCCTGCTCTCTTACTCTCTCTCCAAGTATAGCTGGAGAGGAAGATTTTTAAAATACCATAAACGACAGGCAAAAAAGATGACAAAATTCTAAAATCCAGTATGTTTTAAATGTAGAGTTAGTATTCAATCCCCTTATTATCTTCAATTGCTATTGTTTGGGTTCCTGTAAGTGTGTGTGTTAAACTGCAATATTTTTTTGATGTTAATATTAGATTTCTCTTTCATTGTTTGTGTTTCTTTCCAATTATTTTTATTTCTATGTTTGTCCTGGTTCATTCTGCCCTTATTGGGCCTGTTTTTCCTGTATATAGGTTTGAAGAAAAAAAGCCCAATATTTTGAAAAAGATCCACAAAAGTGGAGAGTGTTTTTCGTTGTGGTTTGGTTTGGTTCTCCTAATCTTAACCTTTTCTCTTCTATTGCTATGTGCATGTTAGACCTTAGTAGGGTGGTGGCTGGGGATAGAGGGAGGTGAGAATGCAGAGGTTTGGAGGCAGTTTTAATTGCATGATATTGCTGTAAATTATTCTCTCTTGCTTCTGTTGTCTTTTCTGCCTCCATTTTCTCCTTCATTCTCTCCAAAGCTTCTCTTCCACCACCCTCAGTCCGTTTCCCTGGTTTTTCTTCCTTTATGTATAGCTTTTAAGACTTCTGTTAACTTGTACCTCTACAAAAGGCTGGGATTTCAAATAATAATAATAAATAATAATAATAATAGCCCATATAGTACACAAAGGAAGGAGATCATTTACACAAGAAATAAGAATAAATGAAAGCAATACCTCTTGTTATCCTTCCTATTTTGTACTTGGATGAAACATGCATACACATGCACACACACTCACTCATGGACACAGTCTGATATTATTTAACAGTTCCAAAGGACAAAGAGGAACCTTCTGATGTATCCCTTGTTAAATAACTGTGAACAACTTTAGTTCAAAAACAATAAATTCATTCAGTAAAGATACTGACTCTTTGGGTGTCTTGTTTATGACAGCTGGCCAGAAAAGGCTCAGGTAAGTATTGTGCCTAATCTCCATCATGTATTTCGTGTAGCTTCAGAATATGGTCCAGTCACTATATCAGTTTCCTCTGGTCTAATCTTGAGATTTATCCAGGACTGGCAGAGGATACAGCATCTGGCTTTCCATACTGAAGATCCCACTATAAGTTGAGATCAAAACTGAAGTGTGGAGATTTTTTTTTTTAATGTAAGGGCTTTGAGGGTGATGGTTCAACACCAATGGGTGGTTCAACACCAATGGATGGAGGGTTGTTCCCAGTCTTCCAGTTAGGCTTTGATTAGCCTGGCACCTACAGTCTCATGACCGGGTCCACAAAGTGAGCATCTTTGGCACAGTTTGGGCACTTTACTGAATAAAAGGTCAGGAATATAAGCAAATGGTTTGTGTCCATATCATATGCATAGTCCTCAACTTACGATTACAATTGTGACCAGAAGTTCCATTGCTAAGCAAGGCACTTATCCCAGATGATTTTATGATCTTTCTGTTATAAGCAAATCACTGCTGTTGGTAAGGGGATCACAGCGTTGTTAAGCAAATCCAGTTTCCCTGTTGACTGCTTGATGGAAGCCAATTGGCAACCTCATGACCCCATGTTGGTTGCTAAGTGCCCAAATTTTGAACACATGATTATGGCTGCAACAGTTATAAGTTCAAGGACTGGTCATAAGTTACTTTCTCCAGCACTGTTGTAACTTCAAATGATTTCTAAATGAATAGTTGTAAGTTAAGAACTATCTGTACCTTCTCCTTCAAAAATATTAGAAATTCATGCTTTTGAATGTTCCCTGTATCAGTTGAATTGAAATTTGGTGACACAATCAAACTTGGTCTTTAATGTAGGCAACCTACAGTTGTCGTCAAGCAGACCCTGTTTCAAGGGAAGGAAGGACCTTCCCCAATGTACGTATATACTGTAAGAACTCAGCTAAAAGAAAAAGAACAAATCAAAGCATTTTATAATGCCTTGGTAAGGCCACACTTGGAATTCTGCATTCAGTTTTGGTCACCACGATGTAAAAAAGATGTTAAGACTCCAGAAAGAATGCAGGGAAGAGCAACAAAGATGATTAGAGGACTGGAGGTTAAAACATATGAAGAATGGTTGCTGGAATTGGGTAGGTCTAGTTTAATGAAAAGAAGGAATAGGGGTGACATGTTACCAGGGTTCCAATATCTCAGGGGCTGCCACAAAGAAGAGGGAGTCAAGCTATTCTCCAAAGGACCTGAGGGCAGGACAAGAAGCATTGGGTGGAAACTAATCAAGGAGAGAAGCTACTTAAAACTAAGGAGAAATTTCCTGACAGAACAATTAAACAGTGGAACAACTTGCCTCCAGAAGTTATGAATGTTCCAACACTGGAGTTTTAAAGAAAAGATTGGACAACCATTTGTCTGAAATGGTATAGGGTTTCCTGCCTGATCAGGGAGTTGGACTAGAAGATCTCCAATGTCCCTTCCAATTCTGTTATTCTGTTAAGAACTTTTCACTTTGCCTCCTATAAGAAGTCAGTCTCCAAGGGAATGCTTCTAATGATTTGTTATTGCCATGTTTCCAGCAGAAGACATGGACGTCCTAAACTTCAGGTAAGAGCTAATACAAGAAAAGGGTCTTGCTTCATGATGTTTAATTCTAGTTTTAAAATATATATTTAAAACTCCCATTTGTTTTTATTTTCATTTTCCATTTGATAGATTCCTGGGTATATATTATTTTACAAGTTTTGTTTTTTAATATGCTAACAGCAAATTTATTTCCATGTTATTTTCTATTATTCCCTGGCTTTGCTTCTGATCTTTTTACAGTTAGATCACTTTTCTTACAGTAGGTGGGTAGGTATATGTTGTTTTGAATCTTAAATGTTTATCTAGTACTGTCAAATATAGATTTTGGAGAGCAATCCATGAAAGAGAGAAAGATTGCAAGAATTTTGAAGGCCACTTTTAGTCACCTAATAACTGCAATAAATAGTTTTCTTTTGTTTTCCATTAATGCATTTACTCTACTTTATGCCACTCCCAGCCCTTTGGATTTACTTTGTACAAAACCATGATTTTGAAATCATGATTTGTTAAACAAATGTGTCTTACACATAAGACAAAATCAGAATGGTTTGAATCTTTGAAACCACTTCTTTTAGGGCTGCCTAAATCTCCTCTTAATATTTAGTTCAAACAAACATTAGCAGGAAACTGTTGATTGAACTGTTTAGCTGGGCAGGAAAAGTGAATTCTAGCTGAATTATAATGAAGAGTTTCTGAAATTCTGAACTTGTCCTGTAAATACATGGCCATGCATCCTGAAGTATGACATAGCCCAATTTGGTTCAAACCATTTTAAAGAACCTTTTGAAATAATTCCTAATTTGTTGGATGCAACAATCAAGATGTCACAAGGAAATCCTTTGGCCATAATTAAGAGCTGATCTGCATGACCATTTTGTACCGAGATGACCATGGACCAGGAATCATTTGTTGCTGGAGGAACATACAATTACCTCTGGTATTCAGCTCCTACCAGCTAGGAAGTCACTCCCTGCTTGTCTTTTATGCTACACATCCATAGTGCTTGCTGATTTATCTGATTTACTTGGTGTGGTTCATCTTACTATAGATCAGCCCCTTTACTCCACTCGACTACTATGTAATGTGACAGGACTGCCTCTCCTCCCCCCTCCAGTCATTGATCACTGCCCTTAAATAAATAAATTTATCAGAGAAGTTGGATCTTTTTAATGAATTCATTAATTGAATATAGTACCGATTTTGTTTTCCATTTTGGAAATAAGCTGAAATATGACAAGAGTTCTGCCATTTTCTTCTGAGTAATAGGAGATATTATATCAGTGGTGGGATTCGAAAATTTTTACTACCGGTTCTGTGGGTGTAGCTTGGTGGGCGTGGCAGGGGAAGGATACTGTAAAATCTCCAGTCAGAGGTGGTATTTGCCAGTTCTCTGAACTACTCAAAATTTCTTCTACCGGTTCTCCAGAACTGATCAGAACCTGCTGAATACCACCTCTGCATTATATGCTGGATGAGCAAAGAAGTAAGGGAATTCAGCAATCATGGGCATCGGGGTAAATATCTGGACAGAACTTTAGGTTACTACAGCAGCTAAAGCGGAAGAAGGACTTACAATTCAGAAAGGGGTTTCTTAAATTGATTATATTTCCAGACAGTTTACTCATGCAAGGCATGTAGCTCATTGTAGAAAAAAAATGTAAGTGGTCCTTTCCTGTTAATTAGACGTACTCAGTGGTAAGGTAAGCCAAAGAATGCTGTAAATATTAATTGCAGATCTACCACAGTGAACCTACATTATTTAGAATAAAGAAATGCATTTTGTAATCATTAAAAGATACCAAGTTATCATAAACATAAAGATTGCCTGTTCATTGCTAAAGGGGCCTGGGGATGACCTGCTGGTTTAACTTTTAGGAAAAAAAATAGGTGATCTTGATATAGAAGATGGGAGAGTATTATTTCCTTAAATCATGTGAGCAATTTCTGATGAAACCCCCAGATACACCTCAGTGTGCCAGACAGTTATACATGGAACACAGTAGATGATTAAATAAAGTGGGGAAATGAAAATAATTTCTGAAAGAGATTGCATCTGTAGGGCAATGTCAAAACAGGCAAGATAGCAATTGATATTGCAATTACTTTGATTTTACAAGTTTTGTACACATTTTATTACATCCTTGTCAACACATATACAAAAGGGGTGGATTTTGGATGAAGCATCATCTTCAGAGGTGGTATTCAGCATGTTCTGACCAGTTTTGGAGAACCGGTAGTGGAAATTTTGAGTAGTTCAGAGAACCAGCAAATCCCACCTCTGACTGGCCCTGCCCCCATCTATTCTCTGCCTCCAGCTGATTGGCTGGGTCTTCTTTGGTTGCCCTGCACAGGAGAAGGGAGCTGGAATGCAGGTTAGTGGGGTGGGGAAGGAATGGAGATTTTGCAGTATCCTTTCTCTGCCACACCCACCAAGCCATGCCCACAGAATTGGTAGTAAAAAAAATTGAATCCCACCACTGATCATCTTGCCTACTTTGATAACACTGTTTACAAATTGGGAACAGCCTGCAAAATATTCTTCATTTTATCACTGTCAGGTTGCAAAGTTTGGTTTATATAATCTTGCATTTCACTTTGTATAGTCTTAATCTCTTCCATACAAATGGGTTAGTTGCGTTGATTTTCCTTCAAATGGCTAGTTGCTAGTTCAGAGAACAGGTGAAATGTCTCATGAAGGAAATTGCAGGAGATTTATTTATTATTTATAAAATGTATTGGCCACCCCTCTTATCATAGGGTAACTCTGGGCGGCTTGCAATTACATATACAGTTAAAAATATAAATATTATCACTGCCCCACTTCTGGGATGTTTTTTAACCCTTCCCTGCCTAGCCTGCAGCCCTGGTGATTCCAGTTTATGTCCTGTCCTGATATCAACCAGTTTGTCCCAAAACTGATGAAGCTTCTTGGATGAGAAGCAAAATGTCTTCAAAGAAAAACCAGAAACTCCCGTTGCCTCTTGAAAAAGCAACTTTGGGACAACCCTGACCTGGATGACTGAGAATCTTCATATAGATATTCCTACATAATGTTCATATTGAGACTAGCCAGATTCTCAACTCTACTGGAATCCATTCCCAAAACTGGACAAAATAAAGACACACTTCAAAGGGTTAACAACGACATTAGTTGATTTGTGACTTGATTCAATAAAGCAGTTTCATTTTTCCTGATACAGCAATTGCAAAACAACAACAACCCACCATTCCTGGCACTTTACATGGGACTTTGATCTCTGGGAGCAGCGTCAAGGAAGCTGAACAAGGAAATGGGAAATATACTACTCCCTTGTCACTTTGGGCGATGTCGCTTTTAGTTTCAGTTTAGGTGCAGTGTACAGTGTGCCGTTTTTCATTACACTGAGTGCCGGATGGAGTTTTCTAATTTGAATGTAGTTGAGTCACAAAAGCAGGGATTTCATGTCAGTGACAAATATGGATTTTTTTGTATAACTTTAACAGCTTAAAATGTATGTTCTCTCCCCTAACAACTTCAACCAGTTGTAAAAACATGGTCCCTCAGAGTCTTTGGAAATGGAGTGGCATATTGACCACTCATGTCCACTCATTCACTCAACCTAGCAGGGTAAATTTGAGGGATTGGCTGTTGCCTTTAACCAGGAAGGCCAATAGTGAGTCATGTTGTCCAGTTATCACAGGGAATCAGAAGTGAATTCAGTAGCTTTTGATTCTCCCCAGAGGGAGTGAGGTTAAGAAGGATCAAAATAGATCTTCTATAGGTAGTCCTTGACCTATGATCACAATTGAGCTCAAAATTTCTGTTTTTTGCCCCACTTAACAAATGCCACATTTGTTAAGTGAATCATGGCTTCCTCATTGACTTTGCTTGTCAGAAGGTCGCAAAAGCTGATCACATGACCCTGCAACTGTCATAAATACAAGTCAATTTGCCAAGCACCTGAATTTTCATCATGTGGGACCGTGGGGGATGCTGCAACAGTCTGGTGTGAAAAATGGTCATAAGTCACTTTTTCCAATGCGTTGCAACTTTGAACAGTCGCTAAGTGAATTGTTGTAAGTTGAAGTCTGTCTGTAATGTATTTTGTCAACTTCATTTTTAAAGCATTCCTGTTGACCAGCAAGAAAACTTTTAATAGGTAAAGGACATAAAATTTTACACTCAGAATACGAAAGTGACATTCTTGAGCTGTCCCTTTGACATGTTGAGATGGTATTTTGGGTTAGTGGGATCCATAAAAAAATTGGACATATGATTTAAAAAAAGGCTGGGGAATAGATGCAGCCCTTGGGTTTGCAGGTAAAACTATGCTGTTCATGTTTCATAACACAATAAAAATGAAAAATAACATTCAGACACAAAGTATGAATATTTCTACCGCAGCCATTTATCTGTATGTAAACATTCCACAATCTCCAACCAGCTGCATAAGATTGGGCGATACAGCAAAGTCCTTGTTAACAGTTGTTTCCAATTCCCCCACTGCTTTGACATATCCCCTGCATATGAACTCTCCTGAATTAGCTTCAGTGCCCTCATTTAAAAGGGTGGGTATCCGTGGTGGGATTTGATTTTTTTTTACTACCGCTTCTGTGGGCGTGGCTTGGTGGACGTGGCAGGGGAAGGATACTGTAAAATCTCCAGTCAGAGGTGGGATTTGCCAGTTCTTCGAACTACTCAAAATTTCTGCTACCGGTTCGCTAGAACTGGTCAGAACCTGCTGTATGCCACCTCTGGTGGGTATTCTCCTTTACAAGTCTTTATAAGGAGCGGGAAACGCCTGGGACACATCAGCAGACTGGAGGCAAAAACATGCAGCTGCATAAGTGAAATGTTGCTGGGCTTCATGTAACCCAGGGGTGTGGAACTCGATTTCATTGAGGGCTGCATCAGGGTTGACCTTAGGGGGCCAGAGTGGGAGTGGCCAGGGTGGGTGTGGTCAGCTCAGCACCACTCATGTCGAGGGCACCTCTGGTGGCCTGAGTGCTTTGCCAGAAAAAAATGGCCTCCTGAGCTCCATTTTCGGCTCCAATGGCCTCCTGCAACCCTCTGCCAGTGAAAACGAAGCTCCATTTTTGCTGGCAGAGGCACCATGGGCCAGCCCTTTGCTGTTCCCAGGGCAGCCCCATGGGCCAGATCTAAGCAACCCATGGGCCGGATGCGGCCTGCAAGCCTTGACTTTGACACCCCTGATGTAACCTATACACATCTTGTATTTAGCAATGGCATTGTGGACATTTCAGCGGCTGAAGACACAACATAGAGAAAAACTACTCTTAACGTGCTTGTAATTCAGAGGTGGGCTGCATTTTCATTGACAAGGAGTTCGCTGGTCGTGATTTAGTTATTTAGGGAAAGCATAGCACAAGGGTGGGTGGGTGGGCCCAGCCAGAGATCACAGCTAGGGGTTTGCCCGAACCTCGCCAACCATCCAGCAACCCACCACTGCTGTAATTATAATGCAAATGCCTCTCCCAATTCAACTTAAATCCTCCCTCTTAGGCTAGTGGTTAACGCACCAAGCTAAAACCCAACAGACTGTGAGTTTTAATCCCACCTTAGGTACAAGAGCAGGATGGCTGATTTTGGACCAATCCCTCTCTCTCAGCCTAACTCACTTCAAAAGATCGTTGTGCTGAAAATAGGAGGAAGAAGGCATATAAGGTTTGTTCTCCGCCTTGAGTTATCTATAAAAATAATAAAGGTGGGATAAATAAATATAACATTTTAAAAATAAATGAAAATAAATTGAATGGCTGGGTAATTCTTTCTGTGTGACCTCAGTTTCTTGTTCAAGCATGGACAATCCCTAACAAAAGCTGAACTATATGTTGGGGCATTTACCCTCCATCTACAGAAGATGCAGTTTGTTGGCGTTATCACTAATTCCAGCTTAGCCAGAGTTCTCTGTCTCAGGCTTTCTCTGTTGCTCTCATCTTTTATAAAATCAAAATCGGGCAATTATAAATTCTATTGCATTTACATTCGGGTTATTTCCGCGCTTGCAATCTGTTAGCTTTACCGATAACAGTTCGGATACAGTTTTATTGCAAGAACAAGTTATTGTACCAGGCTCTAATTGTGGTCCTGCCACACTTTAATTGGTTTAATTGAGATGTGGCCCTTTGATTCCAATAAAAACAGATATCTATTTAAACAGGCAGAAAGTGTTTATACACTGCAGGAAGCAAATGTTTAAAAGGCTGTTCTTCTCCTAAAAGAGAGGAAGGTAAACATATTCTTGATAATTATGCATTAAAAAAAATAGAACTGAAAGAAGGCAGATTGTTCAGATTACCTTACTTGACACCAGTATGGTCAAGTGAATTCTGCTTGCAATCTAATTCTGAAATGGAAAGGACCACTGTAGGGAGCTGAAGTGGAAACAGGCCCATTGGGCCGAGCTTAATGCGGTTATTTGTTTGCTTATTGATCTGATTTATATCATATCCTGTAATCTTGTCAGTTTTATAGTAATTGGTCTTCTGGATGCTTGGATTTCTTTCTTGCCTCTTGAACTTTGAGAATAGGTTCCTGAAACTGAATAGTTTGGTTTATTCCATGTTGATGGCCACCATTCCAAATCAGCAGTAATACTTGGTTAAATTCATTACAGACCTGTATTTTTCAGGCAATAGATTGTTAGTCTGAGGCTGCTCAATGAAGGTCGTCCGGATTTGCAAAAGTGCAGGAATCTTTTGTTCTCAAGTGGTTCAGTAGACCAGAATCTTGTAACTGCTGTAATCTGGATACAGCTGCAGCCAATTTGAAAAGGGCTGGTTTGAATTGAAACTAATCACTCTCCCTACAAGAACCTGAAGAGCGTCCTGTGTGAATGGGATGTGCAAAACTATGATAAGAGAATTATTAAGGATTAGTTCTAGCTGCCTAGAATAGCTGCATGGTGAGATAGGTAGCAAATACATCTAACAAATAAGTAAAAATAATTATCTGGTGTGATGGCTCTGTAGAGAATAAGGAAGACAATTTTGGTGGAAGTATGCAGGCACTGCTGCCAAGACAAAATGGGCTGAAACATTTTTTTAAGTCCAGGATGAGATAATATTTCAAAGCTTCTCAGGAAGACCACCTCCATAATTCCTGAACTATAAGGAGAAGAGGAACAACATGAGCCTACTTTTAAGGTTCTTTTCTTGAAGTTCAGTCTCAACACAAGTAGTTTTAGCCTTGATCTCCTGACCTGGTACATCTAGGGGCTGACAATTTCTAACCTGAAGGTTCAGAGCCTGGTGTATTTGTTCTGCTTTCTGGTGTTCAGGTGGTTCTCCAACCTTTCTTTTTATGCTCAAGAAGGCTTCTTCTGTATACATTTGCTTTTCTATTATGTCCCTGTCCAATACATTTCTGCCCAATAATTTTCTTCTGTAAGGATTGCAAATAGACAAAAGACAGGGAATAGGATACATTTGGTGGTCTTCTGGAAGTGAAGATGATAGTTGTTCTCTTCCTATTCAATCTGGAGCAGTCTGTATTTCTCCATAAGTTGATCAAGCATTACCTATATCGTAACCCTGCTGTGGAGATTATTCACTGGGGAAGGCAGGGAGTGTAGGTTGTTCTGGGACTCCCTAACAGAGTCCTATCTTCTTACTAGGTAGGTTGGCACTTCCTTTGTCCTGCTGTTGGTACTCAACCTTAAAAGAATGCATCTAATTTCTGGTTTCCCCTCATTATTCTGTCAATGCACACAGAGATCTGACATCCTTATTCTTGTTGACTTGCATTGGATGCTTTTGTGTTAGTTTTCATCTGACGCCAGGGGTTTGTGTTTTACGTGCTAACCAGTAAAGATAGTCCTCATTTGGTGACTACAATTGGTTCCAGCATCTTGGACATTAAACAACGTGGTCACAAGGTAAAAATATGACGGCAATTGTGCTTATGCCAAACAAAAGGCATACATTAGAGCCTTTTTCCTCCATTCTTCCATCCTTTTAAATGCTCACCTCAGTGCTGGAATAATTAGCAAGAGAATTTATGTTCATATTTATATTCCTTGGAGAGGAAGGGACTATAAGAGAGTGAACAAGCACACAACAGGGAATACGCATTGAAAGGAGTTGCAGTTTGCCCGGTACACTTGAGGCTGCAAGCCATGAATCCTTAGGAGGCAAACAAAAGCCTTTGGTGTGAAATCGATTAGGATCTTGTCATTTGTAATTTCGGGCAGCTGCTGCAAGGCCCACTGTCCTAATCAAGAAATTAAGGTCACAGAGCTGAGCTTATTAACAAGTGGTTAGCACTTTTCAGAGATGTATTGTGGAGGAACACAACTCAGGAACAGATAGCTTTTTAGGAAATCTCTGCACTCTGGAAGGGTAGAACAAAAATGAGGTACAAGGACAGTATGTACTGAGGGAAAGATGCTACATAGATTATAAATGCAGGCATTGGTCACAAAATTATGTTTTCATCATAATTGCAGTCACTGTTTGAGGCAGTCACTAAACAAAGACAGCCTGTACTTTATTTGTTGTAGGAAAGGCTTATCTAAGTCACCTTTAGTCTTAACTATTTACTACTGCAAGTCTGGTTGTTTCTGGAGATTGTCATTTAGATTTAGATGCGGATGCCTGACAACTGACTCGTATTTATGTTTGCAGTGTCCCGGGGGTCATGTGATCCCCTTTTGAGACCTTCTGACAAGCAAAATCCATGGGGAAGCCAGAATCACCTCACAACTGTGTCACTGACTTAACATGGCTGCAGGGATTCACTTAACAAATGTGGTTAAGAAAAATCGTAAAAGGGGGCAAAACTCAACGAATTTCTCATTTAGCAACATAAATTTGGGGCTCAGTTGTGGTTGTAAGTCAGACTACCTGTTTCAGGATACATTAGCTACAATGCAGTTTAAGTTAAAAGGAATAGTGTGAGCCTATCCCTTTGCCAATTTCATTCTCTTTTCATGAGTGCCATATTTTCCTTTGAACAACTAACCTAATTAATCAGTGGAACAGTTTTTGCCTCCAGAAGTTGTTGTTGGTCCATCACTGGAGATTTTAAAGAAGAGATTGGACAACCATTTGTCTGGAATGTATGATGGGGAACCTATGGCACGCGTGCCACAGGTGGTACGCAGAGCCATTCATGCGGGCACGCAAGCCCCAGCCAAACTTAACAGCACTGCGTATGTGTGCACCTCCCAGCTGATTTTCAGCTGGTTTGAGGCCATTTTCGCCCTCCTTGAGACTTGAGGGGAGCCTCGGGAGGCCGAAAAACAGGCCTTCCGGAAATACCAGAAGTGCCGAAATGGGCATGTTTTCAGTCTCCTGGCGCTGCAGAGGCTTCCCTCAAGCCTCCAGGAGGGCAAAAAAGGCCTCAAATGGGCCGAAAATCAGCTGGGAGGTGCGTGCTCACATGCACAGGGGAGGGGGAGGGGCGCATTGCATTGTGGGTGCTGGCGCACACTTTCGGCACGCCACAAAAGGTTCGCCATCGCTGGTACAGGGTCTCCTGCTTGAGCAGGGGTTGGACTAGATCTCCCAGGGGCCTTCCAATTGTATTACTCTGTGTTCTGTGTGACTTATTTCTTCCTTATTTCCCCACTCTGCCTGGTTCTTAACTTTGTCTTCATCTCACAAGGGTCATTTTGGAACCAAAGATACATTTCTTGAATGAAGATGGATTCTCACAATATATGTGCAAATCTTTTTTGACCTGGCAATCGTGCGTTTTGTACAAAACAAATGAAAGAAATTATAAGGGGCTATCTAGGAAGCTCAAATGTTCATACTTTCGCCTAATCGATTCCTCTCCAAAAAAGATAAGTGGAAGCATTAAAATGTTTGCCAGAATTTTTAGTTCCCAAGGTAAAGAAATCCTGAAGTATTGCAAGCACTATTATGCAAACATAGCTAAAAATTGGCTTGAATACAGCTTATCTTAATTTTTGGGCAATCCTACTGGGAAATGGAAGATGAGGAAAGTTAGGGCACTGATCAAAATCAACATTTGAACTATTTGAGACATCAGTTATAAAAATAGTGTAATCTGTGATAAAACATAGGATTTTGCTTATGGAAGATTCCAGGTTTAATTCTTGGAATTTCCAGATAAGCTTGAGAAATATTCCTGGCGCTAATGCCAGCCTTGTGTAGACAATAAGCTGGCAAAAAAAAAATCTATTCTGGCATAAGGCCACTTCCTTCTTTTCTGTTAAATTACTCCTGTTTTATTCAGAATCATAAACCATGAGGTTTTTGGGATATTCTTTATTTTAGGGCATTCCTGGTAGAAATGCCAGCTATGATACATGTGCGTGTATAAAATAAATGTTCCCAGATGTATGATTGGTAGTTGCTTCTTCTTTAAAGCCTCTGAAGATAATGGAGTCCTGCTGACAAAATATGGTCATTTTTTTTTATTTAAACAGCAGTGCAAGTTCAGTAGTCGGCCCTTCCTTAACTGATATATTAAACAATGCAACTGTCCAACACAATAACATTAAATAGTAATCCTTCAGTGAAGTAGTCTAACCAATAGAAGGCACTTATACAGTGAGCATGCAGTGCTTTGTGCTGAGCGTGATGTACAACTTCGTTAAGTCCCAGGCAGAAGAGTGATGCAAGGAGTTCCTGGCTCTTAGAGAACATCTTTGCTCAATTGAGGCTATAGAACTGTGATGGCGAACGCATGTCACACGTGCTGGAAGTGGCACGCAGAACCACTTCTACCAGCACGTGAGAGGTTGCCCGGAAGACCCCCACTGCACATGCACATGCCCTGCCCGCCTTCCAGCTGATTGCTGGATATCTGGCGGGAGGGCGAGGGGTGCATGGGAGATGAATTTTCGGCACAGGAAATGAAAAAGGTTAGCCACTACTGCTATAGAAGCTGACTTCTGAGCACAGAATCAGAAAAGTTTACAGTGATTCAGATAAAGTAATAGCTTCCCCAGTCTGAGGATAACTGATCAACAGTCATAGTCCAAAAACTCAGAAAATGAAGGCTCTCTCAGGAAGAGATTTCCTCGGAAGGGAAGGGAGTAGATATCCACATGTACTGATGGTTCCTTGTGGGGAGGGGGCTCCTATGAATTATTGGAGACATAGAGAAGGTGATTTGCTTTGGGTGCAAAGATAGTACATGTATTTGCCTCAAAAGGCACCAATTGTCCCACAGCTGCAACCATATGAAGAAATAATGGCCTTTCTCTGTCATAGCATCTGCTCTCTGGGATCAGGTGCCTTACATCTGTGTGGCTCTTACCCTGACTGCATTTCAGAAAGCTTTGCATTAGGGTGGTAGGCCAGCTTCGTCTCATATGCTCTTCTTCGGCCCTTTTTTTTTTAAAAAAAAAAATTATATTGTATTCTTATGTTTTGTTTGGTTTTATTTTACATCATCCAGAGTAAGTTTGGAATCAGATGATGCTGAAGTTGAATAAATTTAGGGTTGGACCTCGAATATCCCTTCAAACTCTGTTTATTCGGTTATTCAGTTAAATAAATTAAAATGCAGTTTGCCCAATAGGACATTTAATATCCGAACCACTAAGATAGCTTTCTTTCAAAATTTTCACCTGGTGCCAAAGTTGAGCAGACCTAAGGCATGCCTGTAACAATATTTTGGGTAGTAGTGTTCTGGTTCATCAGACATGGGAGCACAATTTGGGGAAACCAGGTTTGTACAGAAGGGGTTTCATCCATAAATGAAGCAGAGTTTCGGTGAACATTACTTTTCCATGGCTGCATCTGGACTCTAGACCCTTAAGAGGCTTGTTTTGTTCTTGCCTTTTAATGCAAATGATTTTCTTTTATTAGAAGTTACTATTTTAATAGCTGCCTAATATCATTTGTAAGTTTTACTTTTGTTTGTCTTAACTGATCATTAGTACCCTGAAGTAAGTTTGTTTTTTAAAGTGAAGGCACAATCATTATTATTGCCACCAGTACTTCCTACAGGTAGCACTTCTTTTGAACCCTGTTCTAGGGTTTAGTCCAGTATAATATTTGAAGGGGCACGGTGGCCTAGCAGTTAAGATGATGGGCTTGTTGACTGAAAGGATAGCAGTTCAAGACCCAAGTACTGCACAATAGGGTGAGCTCCCTTTCCTGCCCAAAAGCATGCAAATGTGAGTAGACAAATAGATACAACTTCAGTGACGAGTTAACAGCGTTCCCTGCACCTTGGCGTATAGTCCTGCTGGCCACATAACCACAAAGTGTCTTCAGATAACATTGGCTAACCCTAACCCTCGGCTGGGAAATGAAGATGAACACCATCCCCTAGAGTCAGACACAACTGGATAGAGGAAACCTTTATATTTGACTTTTTATAAAGAGAACACACCTTAGAGGAAAAATAGTTTCACCTAAGGTATTTTAAATAGTCTTCTCCCTACCCCACATTTTTGAAATAAATTGTAACATGAGAAAATGTAAATTAGTTCTTGAGTGCAACCTAATATAAACAGAATACTGATTCTCACAGCAGTTGGAGCACATTATCCCTGAAAATTGAACATGAACTTCACAGGAAATCTTTCCCTTGATCTGATCAGAAAAGAGCTGAGTTCGTTTAGAATGAAATGTGAAAAGAAGAAATGCCAAATATTTATCAGAAGGATGTGTAACTTGAATGGAAAATATCAGGCTTAATATACTCATGTTTAATATCATACCTTAAGAAAAAAAAATGAGGGTGTGGGAGGAAACCCCAAATAAACCCATAAGCAACTTCCCATGGTATGTCCAATGAACCTTTAACTTTACATTTCTACCATGCAAAGAAATACAAAAAATGCCTGCTAATGCAGCAAAGAAAATGCAACTTGTGTCTGATAGAATTTATTATTATTATTATTGGACAGATGAACTAAAATAAGCCAACAACATAATTATATGCCAACAGCCATCTCTCTTAGCATAGTGGTGGCAGACTGTGTGCCCCCTTCCCATCCTGTCTCAGGCCCCCTTTGGCGAAAAAAAAGCAGTCATGGCTTTTACCACAGGGTGGGATTCCTCCCCTGGCTACTATATCTCCCGGCATTTCTCTCTAGAAATACCAGAACTTTTGTGGGTGCTTTCAAGATCCACATACTGAGGCCAGGGAGATCAGGGAACCACCTTCCTTAAGTGCACTGGAAGCCTTATTGCTACTTTAGTTGGGCCAAAACAATTTTCCTCCCTGTTAAAACCCAATGAAGGGTTGATGAAAAAGGTCTGAGAGAAGGAAAGGAAAAGGGTCAACTGAAGTAAAAACAAAGACAAGTCTCAATGTGCCCCCCATGTAAGCCACTTTACATGTTAAGTCACGGTTTACAACTTTTTTTAAAAAAAAAAAAATGGTAGTACTACCATCTTAGAGAGGAAATGAGACAGATAAAAGGGGGCTTGCATTCAAGACAAGGACCACTTCCCAAAAGGAAGGGGGCAGAATGGGGGGGGGGGGGAGGAACACAAAAGCAGTAGCCCAACTCAAAAAATGTGGTTCATCTCTTAAAAACAGCACTCATAATCCATTGAATAAGGAAGAAACAGGAGAGAAATGGAGGGAAGGAAAAAAATCCCCACAGAACGTCTTGCCAAGGATGATGCATTTAACCAAAACTCCATATAGTCCCTTGTGTCTACATGTCCTGTGGTGGTAGCATACTTGCTTAAGCTGTCTTGGTTGTGTATGTCTGCATATGCATATATATGTGTATATATATGTGTGTGTGTGTGTATATATATATACACACACATACATACATACATATATATATATACACACACACATACACACACACACACACATAAGCACATATATATATATATATGCATACATCCGAGAATAGAGAGTAATTTCCTTTTTTTAAAAAGTGTTAGCGTTGGTTTTGCTCTGGTTGGGAAGATTCATCTCTCCTTCACGTGGTTCTGTGCTACTGCACTACTACTACTGCTGCCGCTGCCGCCACCACTACCATTGCCACTTCCGTTACTGCTACTGCTCCCACTACTGCTGCAGAGGATCTCTGTGAGGTCATCCATGATGGTTGTTTCTTTAGGGTCCACCAGATTAAACTCCCGGATGAAAAGGATGAAGTGTACGTAGAGTGTGTTCAAATGTCCATGCAATTCCAGTGCCAGTGTTTCCTTGAAGTGTGATGAATAGATGTGGGCTAGCACATGAAACAGATACTTGCAGATCTTCTTCACTAGGGACTCAAATGAGTTTGGGAATTCTTTGCCTGTTGTGAAAGTGAAAAGGAGGGAGAGTGAAAGGAAAAGAAACCATCAACTTCAGGGGAACTTCTGAAAATATCAGCTTACTTGAAAAATTATCCTGAGGAGATTTGCAAGCAATTAAAAACAGTAAAACAATAATTCATTAAATATTGTGTAAAACAAGCCACACATTTCTAGACTCCTTTTACAGGACAATTGGTGTTCCTCTGGGGGAAAGAAGTCCAGCTAATTGGCCTTCTGCAAGAATTGTCCCATCAGCCTTACTTCCTATTCCTTCAGGGTGTATATCTTTTACAGTGCAGATAGTAGCAGTGGCTCTAAGGCCGGGAGGACAAGAGACTAGCTGAAGCTCTTTCAGCTTCAATGGCTTTGGTAGTGATGGCCCCTCAGTCATGAACAACACCTGTTCAAGCTAATGCGCTGTATTTTTCTTCATTCAACTCTATTAGGTACATATTAGGTTGACAAGCCTAAGAAGTTTTTTTTGTGCTCAAAAAGTGTGACTTGCTCATTTTGGAGAAGGTGATTATTCCAACCCCCAACCATCACAAATTACAGATTTTAGATGGAGAACATTTTTGGTCAAGTTTGTTGCTGAACTAGAAGTAGCTAATGAGTAGTAGAAATGTGCACAAATGAAATGAGATATGATTTAAATTCATTTAACTTAAATTGGATCAAACACTAATGAATGAACTGTTAGACACATACATTGATCAATATAGAATTTATATATGCTAAAGCCATAAAGATCTAGCTGAATTAGTTTTTTCTGAAAATAAACATACCATATTTAGTAGGAAAGACATCCTCATCCGTCACTAACTTCTGCACTGAACTCATGACAAAGTCAACATACTGAGGGCCTGTACATTTGATCTTCTTTCCTCGCTCATCATACCAGTAGTATTGTCTGTGAAGAGAATGATCAGTATGGTGATATCTGTTCTGGATATGTAAGTTACCACATAAGCTATAACCCTCACACGAGGCTCCCATGATTATCTTTTGTGGTTCTCTTCACCTCCTCAGCTATCATGGAAAGAAGTCAGCAAAGAATTGGGGGAATTTAAAAAATAACTGAAATACAGTATAATGTGTGTTTAAATTCTCTCTTTACACACAGTCCAAGGGCAGCTCTCAACCTGAAAAAATAGCTCATCTCAAGCCCACCGAAAAGCAAACAATACTGCCTTAGCTGAGCAGCTAAAAATTCCAATTAAAGTTTTAGAATACTGTTATTAGAGCTTAAGCACTTCATTATAATTTCAGAATGAAGTTTGTAAAACTAGAAATTGGTGAGAGTCTGTGTCGTGAGTGATACTGCTGTAGTGCTTAGATCAGGAATAAGTTTGAGCAACTGCCATTAGTTTATAAAGCAATTCTATGAATCCCTTGTTCTACTTTAAAAAGCAGATCCTACAGATGGAAGAGCCTACTATAAGCTTTATCCTATGTTTCAACTTCAGACACACTGAGAGGCCCCGGTCACACTTTAGGATGCCATTTTAGGCAAGGTGACACAAGCCTTCAGCACTGTAGTTTTCATAAACTAATTCATCACAGAATGAGTATTTTAAAGATTTACTATGGACATATGGACACACTTCAGTCTCAGTTTTTAAGGAAACAGGACTTGAAAATGCAACAGCCTTATTTTGTTTTCAAAGTTAGCAAATAGAAATATTTGCTAACTTTAGTTCCAGATTCATTTTCAGTTGAGAAAAAAATAATTACAAACAGTTCCTAGAAGTTTTGATTTAAATAATTAATATCCCCACTTCATTCTTGACACAACTTTCATCATATGTGTTACGGATTTAAACAGATGTGTACATTGTACTGAGTCAAGTGGAAAGAGAGTTACTTTTCATAAAATAAATACAAATTTTGTCCAGTTGATGAAAAGTATTATGCTAAGGGATTAATCCCATGAAATGGATGACTGTAGTTATAGGCAACAATTTGCAAAGTTCCAATTTAAAATATATATTTAAATTGAGTATATATTCTGTTGAATTAATCTTTCTCTGAGCATATCCTTTTGTATTCAAATTCAGGCCTGCATCTTATTAATAGAAAATAAATATAAAAATATAAGAATAAACAACTCAATGCAGAATTGTAAACTCTTGGATTCTGTTTTCAACCACAGGCTGATGATACATGCAAGTGTAGCAGATTTTGTATAATAACATGAGCTGTCAGGAGGTGGCAGCATAATAACAGATAACTTTAACATAATAAATCCCATACAGTAGCTAGCATAATTCTCCAGCTAGTCTTCAACATAAAACTAATTTTATGTGCATTTTTAAGTATAAATTGTAGTTTGTGGTGGTGATAAATGTTGAGGCTATTACTGAGACATTTCTGAGAAGTATCACATCAATTCAAAAAGCTCCTTCAAAGGAAGTATTTTCATCACAACTATATGAATAAAGATTCTGTGCTCTTTCCATGATATTTTTTAAAAGGAATGCATATTACATGTAAAGGTGCATTTCATTCATGGGGTTTCAGACTGTATTAGTGCATGTCTAAATCTAGTACCAGCATTTATAATTAACTTAATATTCAACGAAATCTTACACTGCTGAGAGAAAATATGTGACACATACTTAATTGTCATAGGTGTGTTATTATTTGCAGAGCCAGAGTAGGGCGGTGGCTAAGAAGTTGAGCTTGACACCCCTGTTTCAAGCCAGCCATGGGAGCTCAACTGAGCGTCTTTGCACTCAGTCCCTCCTATCCCAGAGGTGGTTTTTGTGGGGAAAAAACATAGAAGAGGGAGTACTGTGAACCTGAGCTCCTGGAAAAAATTAAACTGTATAAATTGTACAAATTGGATTTTAAATTTAATGTTCTTCACATTCAAGAAATAAGCTACACAGCTCCATTCATTGTGAGGTTTATCATCAATTTTGGTGTTCAATTAACTTCAGCCAGCCTAACCTTGACCCCATTAAATATGTTGTCTTGTATCTCCCAGCCAGGAAAACCATTGGCTAGGCTGGATAAAAAAATGTAAAGTCATAATTCTAATTGGAGGGCAACAAACTTTGATTTACCCTGTTTTACTATGTTTTAACCATTGTTTAGTGAGAACCTTATTGTATGAAGCAACATCAATTACCAATCTGTGTTATCACTAGTGGAATTTTGTCAGTTTCAGATATACTGTCTAAGGAGCTCAACCTACCTTCAAAATGCCATCTAAACAACAACTCTCATTCTTGATAGAGAAGAAGAATTTGACTCGAGATTTTTTTTTTTTTTTTTAAAAACTCAGTTGCAAGCAAAGAGAATAGGAATGGAATTCCACCAAATTCAAACTGCTCTGATCATTAGTGGAGTCACTGAAGAATCTCTAAAAGAAGACTACATTTCCAAAAGGACAAGATTTCATTTTCCAAATGTAACACTTTGTTCCTTTTGCCTAATGGTTGGAGGTCAGCAGTTAGATAATATTCTTGCCCAGGGCCCTTCTTGTGTCTCATTTTTTACGAGGAGATTAAAGGGGAATATTCCAAAAACACATATCTAATATTCTGTCATAATCCCAAATAGGATGAACATAAATGACCTTTCTTCATTTATGCAGACTAATAAGGACAGAATGTAGGAAAAAAATTATCACATGCCTTTGTTTATCGACATGGATGAAGAAGTCCAGAAGTCATTCCAAAATTAAGATTAAGAAACAACAGCAGTCTATGTTCCCTGAGCTTGCGTGTTAAGAATAAAATCCTTTACAAAATGAGGGTTCCCTGAGCTTGCGTGTTAAGAATAAAATCAAAGTCTAAAATTTTGGGAGACACTAAAAGTTTCTAGTACAAAAGTGGGCAATCTAACCTTCTTCCTAATCTTCTGAAAGTCTTTTTCTTTCTGAATGTTTTAGAATATGAGTGAGAGGCCTCTGTACTTTGATTGGTCTGCTTTTCTAGATGCTCTGGTGCTCCCTTCTGAACCAGCACAATTTATTTTACATATCTCCATCTTTGATAGGAAACAAAACCTTTTCTGTGTAGAAAAAGATGAAATTAACAAACTTTATTCTTTATAAAAACTTAGGCTTAAGCCTACCACCCTCATTTTGTAAAGGATTCTTTCGTGTACAAACAAAACTATTTTGTGTCAAGATAGGTTAACAAATATTGGCTCAGAGCACAAAAATGGTACTTTGCACGCAACCATTTTCAGAAACGGTTAGACTATGAGATGTTTTCATAGTACTCAAAAGAGGATTTAAGTTGTGTCTTATATATTTTTAAACAGTCATGAGCTGAAGAAAATAAATTCCATATGAAAGTTTTGAAAAAGATCAAAGGGCAAAGAGAAAACAGCAACAGGAAAATCTTGCTTCACACAATCAATAGGGGAAGTTCCCATTTTAGCAAAGAAACAAAATAAGTTAAACATTAAACTTTGACATCTGTCTCTAGGCAAGCTCAAAACTGCTGCTCTGATTGGCAAGTCTTAGTCTCTATATACAATAAAAAACCTGGCAAAATCTGGCCACAGAAACTGGAATAAAATGGAGCGATAGCGATAGTCTTAAAGACAGGCAAATCCTTAAGAAACAACAATCTATACAGAAGCTTCCTAGTATAGTAACAGCTAAACAGACACACAGAAACACACACTTCTGCACCATATGATTTTTTTTTATTATTCTACCACAGAACAAATATGCAAAGGTCAGCCAGTAGTAGATCCAATAGATGCATAGCTATTGTTGTATTGAATTGTATTGTTGTATTGACTGTAAACAAAAAGGAAATTCATGCAGACAAAATTTAAACATGTTCTCTAAGTCTTACATGTACTTTGCTTATGTCTGCAGACTTCTATGAAAATAGCTCTACACTATTTCTTTTGCTGCCACTATTTTGTTTAATTTATTTTACTTGGCTACCTGTAATAAAAGTTAAACATAGCTAGTGTAGCTAGAATTTTTAACTGTAGTTTGCATGGGAAATGCTGTAAAACCCATTTTAACACTTTACAAATGTTTTATTTGATGAACTCCAATAGCCTTATTTGTTTAAATTAATTAATTTAATGGGAGAAAATATTGTTAATAATTTTCAACAGTAATATATGGTGGTATACTAAGTGATGCACCCCATGCTTATTTTTATTTGTTCAATTTTTATATCTGTCCACCTCACATACAGTACATGACTCAAATATGAAGAGTTTGAAGGGATCTTTAATGTGTTTTTATTTTTATTATATATGTTTGCTTTTAATCTGGTTTACAGATGTATGCCTCTCAAGAACTAGAGTGATTTCAGCAACTTATAAAACCAATAAACAAACAAAATAACACAATTAAAGTAAAACTCTGGATAAAGTACTGAATTTCAGAATATTTTACAATAAATAGAACTATCAACAAGAGTTGGCCACTTTCACCATTATTGTTTATATCAACAATGGAGCCTTTAGTGCAAGTAATAGAATTAGATGTTTGAAGATTAATGGAAAGGAGCGTTTCATTAATCTTTTTACAAATGTACAGCTTTAACCATAAAGTTTTTCTATGAATTCAAGAAAGCTTAATTATTCAAAATTTTTATGTTTTGATTTTAATATGGGCTTAAAAGCTAGAGTGACAATAAGCTGTATGAACCCAAAACTTTAAAAGCAGTTTACCCATTTGCAAATTAAAATTACTAACTACTTATGTAGGTAAATAAACTGAATTTTGTGTTAGTCACCAAATGGCTCAAAAAGAAAATCAGAAGTTGGAATAGAATTAAGCTTTTGAAGTGCTGCTTTCAAGATATCTTTATTATCTACGTGGTAATTATTTCAGGTTCTTTCAACCAATGTGTCTCCACCCAAAATTGAATACAAGAAAATTTGCCTTTGTCCTTCATACATTTAGATTTTTTTTAAAAAATCAAGATTTTGTTTTTAGAGCAGATTATTTTGACTGGATATCTTCAGTCTCAAGAAGTATTATGAAGCTGTACAACTGAGAAATATCATGTGATTGAAATCCAACACTGAACTTAAGTTATAGTTTGCTTTGGAGTTTCATGATAAATTTTAAAGAACTAGTTTTTAAAATCATTTTGTGTTAATTGTATTAAATGATCACTTCTACTTACAATCTATTTTTTAAGTTAGGTATTGATTTTTGGACAATAATATCCTTTAACTGTTTATGTTTATGCAGTGAAAGGGGTCTCAAAATAGGATTTGTAAATATTGTACTCTGACTAAACAAAACAGTGCCTAAGCCAATATATAGAAGTGACGCTGAAAACTGAAGCAGGCAGGAAGAGGAAATAGTAAACGACTGAATCAGAGAGATCATTAGTATGAGCGTTGAAATCAACAAGCAGCTAAGTTAAGGGGCTGACTAAAGTCTGAACTGGTATATGAAGAAAATTTATATGAAACAGAGCTGCAGCCAAATGCAAACAGCAAACAAACAAACCTCCACAGAATAAACTAGAACGGATAGGATTTGGAAATATTTTTCTGCAAGAGAAAGTGACAACAAGGATCAGAATAAGAAGCAAAAATAATGTATGCTGATTCAGGTAAGATTTTTCCTATGCTGTTGTGCTCTGTCCCTCCCATGCTGGAAATATGGATGCCATTCCTAAGTGAGTATTCTAATCTCTTGAATCCAAATGAAATGTCACATAACAGGAAGTTCCGTTTTAGCCTTCTGAATTGACTGATCTCTTTTTAAAATGTTAATTGTTTTTTGGAACAGTTTTGGAACGCCACGCCACAGTTACTACCAGTATATTTGTCCTTAGGAATATCAAACTAGAAGGGTAGATGGAAATAGTGAAATATCTACCTGAAAATTTAAATGCCTGCTAGGTAGATTTTACCTTTTATTAACATTACCTGAAGTCCAGTGACAATGCTATTTCCATTACCTTTTTCCTATTCTGAGTTAACAGCAATCCTGTATGCTATCTCCACCATAATGGAGAAACATTCAGCCTCAGAGGGACAATTGTTTTGCATCCCTCAATTGGAAAAGAAGAAACATTCATGCCATCAAAATGCAACAGAAAAGCTACAACTTACGTATTGCATACTGCCATGGTCTGACACGATTCTCCTGTACAGAATTCGGAGATGGTACTATACTGTAAATTGATATGGTGGAAGAACGTTGTTGCTGAAAGACAAAAGAACA